AAAAAAAAACAAAAAAAAGAAAAAGAAAAAGTTGGAGTAATATGAATACCTTCAAACATGTGAATAATTTAAGTCTCTCAAGCATCTTTCATCTTTTTTAAGGACCTTATTCTTTCAATGGTCAAACTATTTCAATTTAGTTGTGTTATTGTAGTACCAACCCATGAATGAACCATTATATTGGGGCAAAACCAGTTGCTTTTCTAAACCTTCCCATTTTTGAGTCATGCACTCGAAATTTTTCACCTCGTATTACTTAGAAAATTTTTGAAAGTAATGAAATGATATTGAACTTTATAAGTTTTACAGCTCCATGATTCAATACCTTGTATTTACATCATCTGTGCTAGACTCTATATATCGACTCATATTCAAAAGCATGTTCACATCCTTCTTTCATGTCCTAAATTTATGCTTTCAATTTTCTTTTCCTTTTTCTTTGTCTTTCCGTGGAAATGGATCAATCCTAAATTCTAGACAATATTTTTGAGAATTTTGATAAGTAATAACTCGAGGAGTAATCTCAATATCCTTTATCTCTTTCAATGAGTTTGCTCAAGATACAACTTTATTTTCATACAAGCCGAGCATCAAGCATATGTGGATATCTTCAAGCATATGTGATTGAACGAATACTAGAGTTATAAGACGCAGTATGCAAATAATCAATTCTTTACATAATTGTATCCTATTTATCTTGTCTAAAAAACATGTCTTTGGCCGAGACAAAAAAAAAAGCAAAAGAAAAAAAAGAAGAAAAAGAGAAAGAGAAAGGTCAGGACAAGACTCATTTTGTATAATTTTGATCAATAAATGTAAGTGAATTGATCACTACCTTTTTGAGATGTCGAGATTTTTTGGACAAACTAAAGTTTCAAAAGATTGGTTTCATGCTTGCAAAAGATTGATCAAATTATTGGGGCAAAGTTATCATGCTCGCAAAAAAGTCATCAAGTTACTGGACAAAATTATTGAGCTCAGAAAAGATTCATTAAGTTGAAAGTTGTCTAGTCGTATCCTATTGATATTGAAAATCCAAAGAGAGACGAGAAAGAGCAATGAAAGGTTCTGATGCTTCAAAGTGGTAAGACATTGACCCTAACAAGTTCGAACACTACACTCCAACCATCGTACCCACCATATAAGTCATCATGGAGATTAGAGACAAGTACGTACAGAGGTGGCTGAGAAAGATTTCATTTTTTATTGAATAAACCGATCCACTTGCTTTTCCATCAAACATTTATTTTGGATTTCAATAATTATCGAAACAAAAAAAATCGACATATTTCATTTATTATGAAAATAAATCCTACTACTTCTTGTCCTGAAGTTTCCACGCTTGAAAAAAAACTTGGGATGTATCGCTCAAATCGGTAACGTCCACATATGGCTTTGTGAGAAGGACGGTGGACAGAAATGACCTTGTTGTACCTCACTCTCGTCTTCAATGGGGGCTGCTGTTTTTTTTTTTTTTGGGAGATTTTGATTCGAATCTAGGAGCACTACCAAAGTGTTTCAAAGAAGGGTTATCCTGACGTAGGTCTRCTTCTGACCTAGATCAACTTAAGTTAAATGGAATCTCTGTCACTCTGCAACTGCTCAAAGAATATAAGATATGAAACTTCATACACCTTAAAGTTGTTCATAAGGCAGGACTAAAGATAACTTTTTTGGAGGTCCTGATACTCATTATGCCTAGTATTGAATAGACTGAGGTATTCACCTTATCAATATCTCAAATCAATGATGGATTTCTTTTAGTCCCTAAATGAGGCACTTGATTCAAACCGAACCTTTTGTCAGACTACTGTTCTCTTGTTTTGTTCCCTAAAAGTAATAGAGTAAGACATCGATTTCTCAATAAGATCAACTTTTTTGATTACATGATGCACTTCTCTGAAAAACATTGGTGCACGTGTAAACGAGGTGCTTTACCAACTAGATAGTGATAACTCTCCTAAAGAGAGTTAATTGTGTCTAAAAGTTACATAAAAAATAGCTAAAGATAGTCTCATCTAGCTCCCAATTTTCAATGAGTTGTGCCTAATTTAGAAGATAAATCAATGTTCTCATATGGCTAAGAGTTTAATGTTAGCGCTCGTATAAATGATCTGATTTTAAGTATTTTGCTACAGCTTTAATAATGCTACAACATCGGTTCCATAAAGAGATAAAAAGCAGCAAGCTAATAGTGAAAAGACTTCTCAACAACATTTACCACAGTAACTGGAGGTTTCACCTGAGAGTGAAAGCTGGGTCTTACATGACTTGTTTTGTTGCCCTAAAATCGGAAGGAGGTATAAATGCCAACTATAAGAGAAGCCTCCACACACACCAAGACAATTCCATTGTTCATTTTTTAAGGAATCAACCCTCACTCCAAGAAAACCTCTCTAACTGTTAGAGAAAGTTAAGAGGAGAAGAAGACATTCATCAGTAGCTGAAAAGAGGCCGATAACTCTTATTGGGAGCTGATCTTCAGCTCCCTCTCTTCATTTTTAGCATCTTTGTATTGTTTTTATTCCTACATTTTTGAACCTCCTTATGATGTTGTATAGCTAAAAATCTTGTGTAAGGGGGAGATGTTGCGAACTCATTTTCTGGGCTGTAACCTTGTTGTTTTGCATTAATGATACTATGTTTTGAGTTGAAGTTGATGTATCACTCTATTTTCGATGTGCTTGATCACTATGTTGAAATACCTCTTTGATAACCTTTGGAAAAATGTATTAGGGAGTGAAAAACTTCATCTCAAGTTAGAGTCTACTTGAGTTTAGAGTGTGGTGACTTAGGGATAAGCATCACCTGGCTTGGTCATGAAAATTGTGCATGTATGCTGTTATTGTTTGTCTATGAACTTTAATGGTAGAAAATCTGGAGTGTTTGGAAGAAATCTAGTCTGTTTGACCACTGCATTGACTCCATTAATACTGCAACATAGTTAAGGTGGCCCAGAAAGAGTCGACGTTCTTTCCCCCTTGCACCCTTATTTTCATAAGAACTTACTTAGCGATTGTGGATGTTTGATAACTTTATCGAAAATTTTACT